GGAATGGGCCTGGAGACAGCCAGAGGAGCTCCCCAAACCCAGCAGCCTGAGAGCAGCCAGTTCCCAGCATGGAGCAAGGGGGACATCTCTTGGCATGACAGGGTTTGTGCTCTCCTGGCCCTGTGCCCAGGCAGGAGTCTCGGCAGGTTGCCCGGGAGCTGCTCCTGCTCCCCACAGGGATGAGCCTGGTGCCTGCCTGAGGGGCTCAGGGCTGTGCTGGGGATGGTGGCACATTATTAGCAGGGTTATGAATGAAGTTGTCTCTCCAGCCTGTTGAAAGTCACAGTTGTTCTCACCTCCATGGATTTATGCTTGTTCAGGTGGAGATGTTTGTTCTCTGTGTGCATGCTACCTACCTTTGGTTCAGGCAGCAGTAGATGATGGGGTTGTACATTGTCGAACTCATGGCAAGGAGAAAGATTGCGAGATAAACCTGCTGAATGTACTTCTGCTGGTAAATGTCTTCCTTGAAGCTCCCCAGGATGAAGTATATGTGATAGGGCAGCCAGCAGACAGCAAAAATGATCACAACTACTACCATGGTCTTCACAAACTAGAAAAACAAAACTGACATGTTATTCCTGGGCCTGGTTTATCCTGGGATGTGCAGATTCCATGGACACGGGGCTTTACTCTCTAAGGAGTGCTGGGAACTGGCCAGTGCCTGCTGACACGAGCCTATTCCTTGTAGCCTGGCTAGTACATGTAGATCACCATTTTTTTCATACTTGCTGGGTGATGATGCCCTTCACCCCCAGCCCAAAATATTTTGCCAACCTTTCATCCCCAGTCCCACATGATTTTTGTATCAATTGCAAGCTCCGTTTTGGAATTGGAGCCAGCAGGGCTGCTGTGCTGAGGGTAATTATTTTTTAAGTTTCACTTCTGACCTTTTTTTTGGCATTAATTTGGTGTTGGTAGCAGACTCTGTTAAGGTGGTTGCCTGGGATTGCACTGCTCCACAGCGTGATTCCTATAATGCTGTATGCAATAAACATCACCAGTAAAGGCAGTAAATAAATCAACACGATTACTGCAATGTGATACCTGAAAAAGAAGAACAAGCACGTTTTCATAGTCAGTATGTTTCTTGAAAGGCCCTTTTAGAAATGGTCTCTTGGACCATGTGTGTGGCTGGCTCCCATTAACTTCAACCCCAAAGCATAAAGCAGCAGAAATTTTGGCTACAAAGATCGTTACAGAGACTTCTGTAAACAGCAAAAGCTCATCTCATGTTGTGATGATTATTCCTTGGACTGGATTCACTGCTCTTTCAAGACACAGTAATGTAATTTCTCTTTTATCAGAGGGTTACAGTCCATGGCCACCTGCCCTGAACGTTGCTATCCCACTGCATTCAGGAAAGGGAGATGCCTGAGACTTGTGGCTGTAAGTATACAAACCTGCAAATCACAAGATACAGGAAAGCACTGTTCTGAAAACCACAGAGTAACCTGACAATTGCAATAGTGCCAACAGCTCAATTTGGAAACAGTGCAAAAAGCAGACTGCAAAATATATCTGGCTGCTAACAGGGAAGATGAGATGTTACCCCACAACCTTCTGCTGGTTCCCTCTTGCTGGGGTTTGATTATTTTAAGCGACCACCATTTATGGGGAGGGAACAACCTGCTCACTTGGTTAGAGCAGCTGTCAAATGAACATAAACAGTATAAAAACTAGGTTTAGGCAGGAGGGCCCTGGCACAGGCTGCTGGCAATGACCACAAAAGGCAGGGTGCAAATGGTCTTTCTCAGTATGACAAGGCTCTGGAGTCACTGGCTGCATCAGCCAGGGTTTCAACTGCTCTGCTGAGCGCTGCTGAAATGAGTGCTGGGGCACTGCTCCATGGGGTGGCTGCCCACAGCAAAACAGAAGTATTTGTGAACTGTGGCAAGTTTATGACTATTTTCCACCCTTCCCAGCTCTCCTTGAAGAAAAGGAGGAGAGGATGGGAGCCTAAGCTTGAGCACGTGGCAAAAAGAAATTTCTAGTCTTGTCATTTTGCTACTTGCTGCAGGTTAACCTGTCACCAGAAAAAATCCTCTGTGGTTAAGGTTCTTTATTTTGGCTAAACTTATACAAATTTAGTCCCTTCGTAACCAAGATTTCTCAGGCACTGGCAGACACAGTAGTACATTGTTTGGGTTGGTTCTTTTTTGGACTTGTTTCCATCAGTTCTATTTTTTTTCCTACATAGAAGGATTTTCCTTTGCTCTGAAGTCTGGAAATCCTAAAAGCTGGTTTTGATCAACTGAGGAGGATTTGGAGGACACACAGCCAACAGAGGAACCCAGTTCTCAATTTCTTGTTTGTTTTGTGCTTTTTTTTTCTTTGGCTTTCTTAGGATTTCTTTTCCTTGGTATTTGCACTAGCACATGAATGGCTGCATGAGGCTTTTTCTCTCTGGTCTGTATTGTGGGCGTTTGTCCCGACAGATCCATCACTCAAGATGATTTCTGGGGACTGCTGCTTCCAACTTCCTTTCTCGGAGAGCTACTGAAACCTGCAAATCTGAGGCTGTTCAGGGAGAGCAAGCAGTGAATTAAATGATTTCTTGTGTTCAGGAGCTGCTGCTCTTTGGCTGGGGATCCCTGAAAGAACCTGCTATGTTATTTGTTGTGTTCAGGACAAAGATGTCATCAGCATGCTGGGAAACTCCTGTTTCAATTCTTCCCAAACAGTGGATGTGGGAGAAGTAAGTTTCACACTTCTCATCTGAAGGAAATAATCATCACTAACTTTTATATATGTGGTTATCTACTACCCCTCCTTCTCAGTCACTAGGAGCCTGTGCTCCACAGTATGTGCTGTGGGGTATCAGCCAAGGAGCCCCAGGAGGAACATCACCCATCACAGCATGGTCTGATTTTATTCTTTTCCTCTTGTGTGACTCTGGAGACTGGGGACAACTGAGTGCCATTGGCCAAACATGAGGCAACTCATCCAAACTTACAGGAAACTCCTGGAACTTAGCACACATTAGTGTGAAAACCAGTTAGTCTGGCAATAACTAACTGCAGGAGGCATCCAGCTGTCTGCCAGTGATGAAGACCACGAAGAGAAAAATGTCCCTGGTTGCATGTAGGTGGGCAAGAGTGTTCACAGTTCAAGAGCAGGGAGTTTAGTACTTGCTTTTGGTTTGAAGGATTGTTTCCATTTTGTTAATAAATTTCTTCCTTTTTTAATAGTTCTTCCATTACTACTTTGTATAAACATGTTTTGCTTGATAAATTTCTCAGACTGCTCTGTGTATCATGTGCTTTGAATAATGATTAATCACAGCAGAAACTCCTAAATGGAGGGCATGGCTTGTTTCATCTCTCTGGACAATCTTGCTTTAAAGCAGGAGGAAGTTGCTGTGAGGGTTAGGAACTTGTAGGAGTGCAGATGTGTGCTCAGATAAGTCAGTCTATAAAACCTTAGGATGTTTAAACATGCTCCTGGGAGGTGTCCCTGCCCATGCAGGGGGTTTGCAACTAGTTGATCTTTAAAGTCCTTTCCAACCCAAACCATTGTATGATTCTCATCATTAAAAAGACCTGGTTTCTTTCTGCCTGGCAGGGGGAGAAAATCTAAAATCTTAGGAACCAGGACTTATTGCTTGTTTAGAGATTTTTCACACTGCTTTCTCTTAAATCCCCTGAGCCCTGCATGGAGGGCTTCTAGACCTTCTAACCACTTCTCAAAGTGGAGGAGGACAGCACGTCACCCTTCTGTACCCTGAGCCATGATCACCTGGCAGCTTTTTTATGCAGTTGGCTTAAACTGAACTTAGATGGGCTTCCCATGTCCCCCTGCTGCGTGGTTCCCCTGCCCTCTCCCCCCAGTGCAGTCTGGAGAGGAAATGGATTTCCTAGTTAACTTTTTTTTTTGCAAATCAGGAATTTTTTGTCTCTCTTACGTGAGCTGGTGCTTGGATCCAACATCATCAGGCCAAACAACGATGCATTTCATCGTTCCATTGTCCATCATGATCTCAGCGTAGAAGCACTGGGGAAAGGCAAGCCCAAATGCCACCAGCCAGATTATCCCTATGATGACTTTGGTGCTTCCAGAAGAGAGCCTGGGCTTGAAGGGATAAATTATTGCCACGTACCTGCCGGAAAAAATAGGTAATGCTTTTACAGCTGCATTCATAAACTGTACAACAAATACAGCAAGTGTAAACAATCACCAGACAGTATGGTGGGATTTATTGATAGAGATATTTTGACAGTTTCCAGCCTGCAAATAAATCTAAACCCTTATTAAAAGAGAATATTGCAAGTCTTAAGGCAGAACATATGAAACCCATGTGGATGGGTGCTTCTGGTGTGAGGTAGAAGGCCTTGTGCAACCTGGTCTAGTGGGAGGTGTCCCTGCTCATAGCAGGGAGGTTGGAACCTGATGATCTTTAAGGTCCCTTCCAACCTTAGCCATTCTATGATTTATGAGATATGCCTTCTGCATATGATCTTGACAAGTATTCTACTTCCATTGATTTTTTTTTATTTTTTTTTTTAATCTTGTTCTTTATAATTAATTTTTCAAATGCTTTATGTATTTGGTCTGAAATTTCATACTGTGAACTGTTTGTGTTAGCTTGGAGTTCTTCATTGTTTAATACCATGTCTTTTTCTCTTCCCACTGCCAAAAACCCTGCTAACAGTCTTTCTCCCTAATTCTGTTAATCTCCTCTGATGTCCTGTGTTATCCCAACAGATTGGTGTCTCAAGTATCCTTTACCCTGGATTTTTCCTCACTGATTTTTAGCCTTGGGAAATTCTTGTGCTACCCACCTCTGCCTGGAAATGCTTGAGCACTTGTGCTGGCTGTGGAAGGCTGACCCTTTCATCCCACACCTGCTCGAAGCCCTCATGGCACATCTGACTCTTGGATTACTTGCAAGCCTGGGGCACTCTCTGGTTTTAAGTTTCCCATGTGGAAACACATGGTGTCGTAATGAGAACTTCATCAATTATGCATTTCTTGTCATGCTCTCCCTACTCTTTGCCGTGGTTATTACAAAGGCAAAATGGTGAAAAATGTCAATTGCTTCTTAGTTTTCAGAGGGAAAATCTGACAAGCTGTGTGTTGTCTCTTGGCCAGGCTGCTGGGAGGGGGCTCTTCCTGGCTGCTGCAGGACAGGGGCTGGATGGATGGATAGCTGGCACAGTGAGTAAGCCAGAGCTGCACGGCTGCACAGCCTCAGCTATACAGTTTCCATGTCACCTTACTTTTCTTTAGCTGGTTGTAGGCAGTCGGATGCTGTGCTTGGACCTGGTCAGGGAGGAATCAAGTGGAATCAAATATTCCCCAGAATATTTGGCTACAGAGGACCCCCAGTCCATGATCTGTGGACAGCAAGTCCTGGGTATGGGTGCTGCTGCCTGAGGCTGCAACCGATCTTGCAGATACCAAAGGGGTGGCAGGGCTGTGCCTTCCCACTTGGCCAGGGCTGCAAGCCAAGCTTTTAGGCAAGCTCCTGCAAGCTGGGAGAAATTTCAGACTCTTGCACACTTTCCTAGGTGGCTTTGCTAACCAGAGTATAAAACTTGATCTGATACACTACCCTGCAGAAAGCATGTGCTGGAAACAGCTGCTCCAGTACAGAGAGCAGCTTGGAACAGGGAGACAGAGCAGCCCTAAACGCCACTGCCAGCCATGTCACCAGGGCCTTTTCCACATCAGAGAAAACAGACTTCCAGAGCTGTCACTTCTTAGCCTCTTTCCTTACAATAAATCACTTCAAAAGGCATTTTTTTATTGAAGTTAAACAACGGAGCCCAAGTAGACGTGAGTTCTCCTAACAATAAATGGAAGCCCCGAGTTTCCAGGAGACAGTGTCAGGATCTATTTTAAGGTTCAGGGAAGAATAGCTAAATATGGTTTGCAGTGAGATGCCAAGTTTTCTTTCTGATCTGGGCCATGTGACTAAAGAGATGTTGACTGTATAGGTACTTTTACCAGAAGTCCCCAAGGAACGAGAGGAGGGAGGTATAAGGACAGGATGAAATGGATTTTTTTAAAACTTTTCTTTTAAAAAATAATTCTTTTTGGCAGACCTTGTGTATAAAATAGCTGGTTACCAACAACCCTTGATTTAAAGCCAGGAAGAGCTAAAAGTGAGCTGCCATTGCCTCTAAATAGGGATTTGCTTTCATCTGGACAACTGGAAGCAGATAAACACATCACTCATCCCTGTGCTCATTAATGATCCTTGCAGTGATGGCAGGGGCTGCTGCCATGTCCTGAGGCAGCCTGGTGTCAGTCCAGGCCACATCCCTGAACCTGGTGCAGGTTGCAGTGGCCACCTTTCTCCAGCTAGTTTGTTTATCTGCTTTGATTTGTCTATCACTTGTTTCCCGAGGCTGGGTGTGCCAGGGTGAGTTGTGAAAGCCACCCTGATGACTCACAGAGCAATAGAGCAATGCTTCAGAGATGTCTCCAGAAGGAGCTGGAAGGGCCCTTAGTGGATACACACACTTGATAAGGAGTGGAGGAAACCTGAAGGAAGGTCAACTGGAGGGCTTTTGATAAAGGAGATTGGAAAAGATAGAGGAAAGACCAGAAGAATGGACAGAGAGGAACTTAACCACCTTCACTTTTACATGCCATTGCTGTTCAGAGAGGAAATTCCCATGGGCTTTTGGCCACTTTCTAGTAAAAAAGTAAACCAGCATCACTCTGCTTAACAATGAGCTGGAAACACATCCAGACTCCACAAATTTAAGCTCCAGTAAAAGAGGCTTGGCAAGTGTAAGAAGACAGTGTTATGAAAATACCAAATTACCTCAGAAGTCAAACAAAATCATTGTAATTACTCTCCTCTCTCTTGGAATAAGTAATTCTTGTGAACTACTGGAGCAGGCTCTGCCATTTATGATCCAATTCCCATTATTCCTGGTGGTTTGCTGGACTCACAAGCAGTTTATGATCAGTAACACGGGAACAATAAAATACCAGCCACTGCCACTTGTTACGTGGTCGGGTCTGATTCAGACCAGGAATAAGAGCCTTCCTTTTGTGCCATAATTAGCATCTAACCCCATAGTCTGTTTGCATCCCACTATGCTGATAAGGCACCTGACCTAGGGGCACCAAGTATTGCAGTAATTTTTTATACCTTACAGTGAATTTTTTTCAGACCTTATCTTCTCTGTTCACCTCTTACCTCTCTGCAGCCACGGCTGTCATGGAGTAAATGCTCACAAACATGGCAGTGATGGGGAACCAGTTCTGAAACCTGCAGAATTCCTCACCAAAGTACCAGACGTTGTGACTGGCGTAAATAAAATTGAAGATGGTATTAAAAGCAGCCATCAGCAGATCTGAAAGGGCCAGATTAACAATGAAGTAGTTGGTAGCAGTCCTCATTCTCCTGTGTGCAAGAATAATCCAGATGATGGTCACGTTGCCAACGATGGATGTGATGACAATGAAGGAATAGGTGATAGCCCACAAAGCAATTTGCCATCCTGGCTGGGTGAACTGGGTTGCTGGTGTCCAATTGCCACTGTCCTCCAGGGAGTCAGCCTGTGACATGTTGCTAGCATTTAGCATGGAAAGTGTGCTCATGGTTGGGTTTTGGTTTTTTTCCTTCTGCTAAGCCTTAAATGCAATCTTCCGTCAGCTACTCATTTCCTTGCAGAAGGTGCTGGTGTTACAAATCCCTGGGCCTGTGACTAAGACATCAGGATGAGGTGGCTCATGTCCTCTTGTCCTGTTTTCCAAGGGATGCAGAGCAGTTCCAGGAGGAGATGAGTGATACCGAGGGCCTCCTCCTTGCCTGGCATTGTAACCTACCCTGGAAGAGCAAAAGCCAAACAACAACTCTCCCCTCTGAGTTTCTTATTCCTCTAAAAAAGAAAGGAAAAAAAACCCAACAAAAACAAACAAGAAGAAAAAAAGAAGGCGAGGGGAACGTGTTTTCCAAGTCGGTGACAGGCGATGTCTTCCTTTAGATTATTTTTAAGGTGCAGAAAATATAAATGGAAGTATCGAGCCAGAAAACACTTTGATCCATGCGGAAAATCCTTCTTTTTCAGGGCACCAGCTGCCTGAATCTTCTGCAGCAGGACTGAGGACGTTTGGTTTTCTTTGCCTGTGCAACTGTTAAGCACAAGGCGGGAGCTGCACTGGGATGAGTTCTCTAGAGGGTTGAAGGGGACTTGGAAAGGAGGTGGAGTCTCTTGCAGGCAAAACCTAAACAACCAATTTGACATCAAACGAAACACAGTAAAGTGGTACTTGAAACTTTCCCCCCCTCCCCTTCTCTGTTTGTTTTGAAATAGTTCTGAAATGGGCATGCTGTTATATCAGGGTTTAAATGCAAGGGCAGCTGCTCTGCCAGGTTCATCATTCCTGCAATCCCTGCCTTTCCAGGACCCTCCCTGGCTTCATGCAAGCTCTAGCAGCAAGAAAGAAACAAAATGTACTCAACAAAATTTTAGCAAGGTGGTCTTGCTTTCTGCAGCTATTTGGAGGCTGTATCTGCATTTTTAATACATTTTACTTAGTGGTCACTGCCCCGTATAATAGGACTCGACCAACCATACTCGGTATGTTTGGTATGATTGAATTTATTTAAATTACAGCAACATGTCCAATTGGTGCTCGAAGGATCCCTGGCAGATGATGTCAGGAGAAGAGGCATTTGTGAAGGCCAGACCTGAATTCTACTAAGGCTTCAGTGGGCAGCTGGCACCCAGGGTCTCATGCAGAGCTCCTGAAATCCTTCTCCAGCTGCTCTCCAGCACAGGAACACCCAGAGAAGCCTCAGTGCGCAGCCGCCAACCTCCATGATGCTGAGGGGCTGAAAGAGGGGCATTTCCCCTTCAGACTGCCACATCCCCCTTTCCCAGCATGTCCTGCAGAAAATTATTGGACCCAAGCATGCAAGGAGGAATACCTGGTCCTCGAAGGAAAGGGGATCCCCTGAGCCCAGTTTCTGCTCTGAGCACAGTGCTCTCGCTCACTCTCGGCTTTGCAGTAAGTGACATGAACATAAGCAACACATCGAGGCTGAGATTTCAAAGAGTACTTGGCACTGGCTGCTGCCTGCTCTGCTGGAAGCTGAAAGCATTTCAGGTATTAAAACCTGTCTTCAGATACTAAACCCCCCACTTCCCCCTCCCTTTTTTTTTTTCTCCAGAATTCAGAAAGCTCCTGGCAAGTCGCACAACGGAAAAGCTCCCCCCGTGCCTCTGGTGCTGGGATGGCAGTGGTTTTCCAGCTTCCCTAGCTCCTGGAGCTGCAGCTCTGCTAGGCTGCCCTGTATCAGGGCAGTACTTACCAGTTCAGGATGCTTTTTACCAGCTCAGCTGGGACCCTTTCCTCACCTCATTAATTTCTGGAAGCAGCCTTCAGTTAACCCATCCCCGAACCACTGCAACTCCGGTCTTCCCTGATACAGTATTACGAAAGTGTTTGGTATTAGAAATTAATATCTGCAGCATATCTGTATGTAATATCTCCTTCTCCTCACAATGGACTTCCCTGCACGTAATCCCACTCACTTCCCTGCCCAGAAACTAAAAAGAAATCCACTTGCACCTATCTTCTCATGTGCATTGCCAAGCTGTTCCAGGCTCTTCTTTATAGTTTTCCACTGACATCTCACTGAACAGTTTATGAACCTCACACTTTCTGTATGCCATCCAGGAGGGCTTCTCCTGATTTGCAATATGAATTCAACAGTTAATAGTGATGTTTGGATTTTTCTTTTCCCTTGGCTTGCTCAGATCTCTTCAAATTCCAAGGAGAAGATGAGCATAAACCTCCATTATATTCAGCTAAAGTGCTTTATCAGTCTTTGCTATAGAAAGCAGAACATAAGCAAGCACTTAGAAAAAGGACTTTACTTTTGGTGTTTCAGTGGTGAAAGCATAACATCTCTTGGCTGACTTTGAAGATAGATGGTCAGGGTGCCCATGTTTCTAGGTAGTACCACTGCTGCCTTCTGAACCATCTGCCCCAGTCCCTATCTGTTATCAAGTGATAATCTGAGTGCAGCCACCCTTTGGTCAACATACAAGTCAGCAGGGACTTGCTTTCTTTTACACACACCCACACCTTTTATTCATTTGCTCATGGTGCATCGAGGAGGTGATTACCCTGGAGCTCAGCCAGCCGTGTAGCCTGTGCTGTATCAGCCTTTGACTTGCAAACTGGAGTGATTTTTTTACAAAGGCAGGCTCCACATTCCTCAGGGAAGCTGCACTTGCCTGGGACTATGGGCAAAACCCACCGCTCCATGGATTTTGGAACCAGGAAAAGGGACTGTCTGAGAGCAGACAGTGGCTGGCTTCACTATTGTTTTTATTATGGGCAGGATTGTTTGAGGCCAAATGTTGCCGTGCTGAGTCAATGATCCCAGGTCTGAGCAACGGGTGAGAGATGCAAACAAAAGATGTGGGTCTGGAAGGATGAATAAGGTTCATTCTAGAAGGAAAAATAACACAAGGTAACAGGGGCAGTAGAAGGTTTAATTGTGTTGCATGTTGGACTTGGCTCTGAAGGAAGGACCTTTGTTCAGGGAATAGCTTAGAGAGCAGGACAGGACGACCACAAGCATCCACCTTGGGTGGGGAGGTGTGCAGCCAGGCTGCAGCTTTATCTGCCAGGCTTGGGCTGGAAGAAAGCAGCAGAAGTGCTGCTGGTAGCTCTGAAAAGCTCAGGGTCTTTCTGACACTCCCTGGCGCAGGCAGTGGCTTCACTTCTCTTTTCTGCAGCTCTCCTAAAGCCCTGGGTCAAATGCTCTGCTGATCTGGCCTTTGAAGATTTGTTCATGAGATCTACAATGCCCTGTTCACACTTACAACAACCCTGGTTGGCACAGATGCCAAGTTCCTGGTTGGAAATCTGAATCTTGGTGCTGCATTAGGCTGGGGTGGAGAGAGCACAACCCAGAAGGACCCTCAGCACCACAGGCAATTCATAACATCTTACTTTAGAACCACCATTTGCTGCTAGACCTTACTAATTTGGTCCAGAACTCTTCCTCTTTCATTGTCTAGACAAAGCCTGGGATTCAGACAAAGAAAACCATTATTAATTTTTTATTTATTTATTTATTTTTTAACAGAAACCTATGTTGAGGTATTGGCTCAGTTCAGAGTGAAAACAACAGGAAATTGGACACTCCTTTTCATCAGCTTCCTCATCCAGCAGGTCATGCCCTACAATTTCATTTGCAGAAATGAGAGCACAAACAACAAGGTAAGGCATTAGGAAAAGAAATCCAAAACAACTAATTTAGTTAAATTCACAAGCAATGAAAATGTGTAGGTGACAGGAGCATGTTTAGATGTGAATGATGCCCAGGAGACCAGAAGAACCTGTGGTAGACTCTAATTCCCACTGCTTACATGGTATGTGATGCCATTTCCAGCTTACACCCCATTGGGAAGTGGCAGGGATATTGCAAACTTGTCTGAAAAGCAAAGTTAGTATTTTAGAGGATGAATGCTCTAGGGCACTGTGTTATGTATTATTGTCAGAAATGTAAAAAGTGATGAGCTGTGCTGTTGCTGGCAGAGACCCAGGCTGGATTATTTGCTTCCCAGAAGCAGAGTTTAGCCCTGTGTGCAAAAAGAATGACACATTTTATAACAGAATTATCCAGGAATATTTTTAAGGCTTTATGAAAGAGGTTTTGGTAGCAACTACTGGCTTATTTTATGTATCAAACAAAATGATGTGCAACTGATGGGCAGTTTTGCATACTCAGCTTGGAGATTTTTCACAGAGCCCTTTGCTAGATAACTTAGAGTAAATGCAGCCACACTTCATCTTCTCTGGCACCAGATGCTGATTTTCAGTGTCTCTGCTCTGGGCCAGGATGCAACAACCAACTCTGTGACAATTGTCTGCCACTTTGAATGAGACTTTTCTCCCCAGAGGAAAATAGTCCTTTGTGAGAGAGGAGTGCAGCACTGGGAGCTTGAAAGGGCTGATTTCATCTCACAGGCATGAAGGGTGTTGGCAGTTCATGGCTGCTGTGTGAGACCCAACACTGACCCCCTGTCATGGCCAAGGGACATGGATAAATGTTGGTGTGGGCAGAAAATGCAACCAGAGCAATGTGCCTGTTACTGTTCTACTTGCACTGTGTTATTTCTGCAAGGGTGGTGAGGAACTGGGATGGGCTGCCCAGGGAGGTTGTTGATGCCCCATCCTGGAGGTTTTTAAGGCCAGGTTGGATGAGGTTTTGTGCAGCCTGGTCTGGTGGTTCCCTGCTCATGGCAGGGGTGTTGGAACTGGATGATCTTTAAGGTCCTTTCCAACCTTCATGATTCTATTTGCAGGTCAGGACCCTCTTTGCATGTGCTTGGGTGTTACAGTGACAGGTAAATGCTCTGGTGTTGCTTAACTGTGCCACTCTAGTGCCAGGGGATTCTGCTCTGCCATCTTTCTAGCTGAAAGAGAGGAGATCTAGACTTGGGTATTAGCAAGAAACTCTTTGCTGTGAGGGTGGTGAGAGCCTGGCCCAGGTTGCCCAGAGAAGCTGTGGCTGCCCCATCCCTGGCAGTGTTGAAGGGCAGGTTGGATGGGGCTTGGAGCAACCTGGGCTGGTGGGAGGTGTCCCTGCCCATGCAGGGGTGGTACTGAATGGCATGAACGTCCCTCCCAACCCAAACCAGTCTGGGATTGATTGTTCCTGTGCACTGAACCAGGGAAGCCCGGTGCCGCAGCAGCAGCTGCACGTGTGGGTGGGTTTTTTCAGCCGGCGCTGCGGTGGCTGCGGGAGCGATGGGTTCTTAGGGGTTCAGCGACCAGCGGGAAAACAAAGGCGGAAAGGAAAAAACGAAACAAAGCAAAGGAAAAAACAAACAACCAAACGCACGGAAAAAAAACCACACCCAAACCACAAAGCGAAAGAGAAAAAAAAAAAGAAGGGAA